TCTGCAAAAGTAACCTGGGTTATCCACTGCTTAGGTTGCCATTGACAGAATTATATTAAGGGACAATTTATGTTCCACTCAGACTCCAGATAGTGGCCATGTGAGTCTCAAATCGTCTCACTGTTGGCAGTTAGGACCCTAGAAGTCACATACCAGGTAACAAGACATGGTTGCTTTGGTTTCTCATGGCCAATCTCCCCAACCTTCTGTTTTCCCTTCCTTTTCAGGTTTTCTGTCCTGTTTTTTGATGAAGCCCACATCTTCTCATAAGCAGTCTCTCCATTTGTCAATCAGACACAGTCTGAAATAAAAGGAGGGGCTTGAACATCACCGGAAGAGAAGTATTTGCATACAGCCAGCATGCAACTTGAATCCCAGAAATAAATTAGAACGGGTGTTGAGGTATACCTTGTGCACTGGACTCAGGAAGCCGAATCTGAGTGTTTTCACCATGACTCTGGCTCCACTACTCCTTGTCCTCCTTTATTATTAGCCATTGAGTTGACTGAAGGAGTTCTGGCCGAATAACTGCGTATTGCTTGGGATGTTTGGCGCATAGGCTTGTCTGTGAATGGGGTTGCCTTGTTCTTACTGACTTTTATTATTTTCTTCATACAGGGTCATGGAGCCAGTATGAACTGACTCAGTCAAACTCTGTGTCGGGGTCTCTAGGAAGCACAGTCAGCCTCTCCTGCAAGCGCAGCAGTGGAAACATTGGAAGCAGCTATGTGAGCTGGTACCAGCAGCACGAGGGAAGATCCCCCACTACTGTGATATATGGTGATGATCAGCGACCATCCGGGATTCCTGATCGGTTCTCAGGCTCTATTGACAGCTCCTCCAACTCAGCCACTCTGACCATCAGGAATCTGCAGACTGAGGATGAGGCTCACTACTTCTGTCAGTCTGGTGGTAGCAATATTCACAGTGATGTGAACCATGGAGGAAGTGAGACAAAAACTCCCCAAAGCACCAGCTGTAAAATCTTTTGGAAAAAGGACTCTTGACATTTCATGTCTCCTTTAAAAGTACTGCTATTGGTGTTCTTAAGACATAATTTCCTCTAGATTCCACTTCAAGATTCTACTCCCCACACTGTTTGGATAAGTGACTTTACACATTTGTGTTCAATCCATGGAGTGGAAATGGTTGAAAACAGGAATTTTAGCAGGCATTACTACTGACATTTTTTTGTCAGAAGATTCCTTAAATGTGTGACATATTGAGCTTCATTTCTGACCAAGATCACTTGCATATTTTCATTTTTCCCTCCATTATGACATTACTGACTTTATTGCCAAATTTATCTCTAATATGGAGAAGCCTCTGTTTCAAGAAGTTGTAAGCCCTGGCTCTGACTCTCATTTATGTCACTAAGACATAAAGATGAGAATTTATGTCCCCAAGTTGCTGTCTCTAGCTGCTAAGCAAAGCCATAGTGTTATATTCAAGTGACTGGATGAGAGCATCATGTTCTCCTGAGGACAATGCCTGAGTTGCCCAA